CATAATACATATCAGAAAAACTGGTTTCTGCTACCTAAATAATGACATTTTAGCTAGTTAACATTAAGATAAAGTTGATCCCCTCACCCAAGGATGACCAGGGTCGGGGCTAATACTTATGGTAGATCATGAATTTTACCAGGTTATAAAGCTTAAATGAAAAATACTGTAGGATTTCATATTTGTTCATTTAAGTGTGTAGAGCTCACGCCTGAATGTGGGTATTGGGGAGGGCCAAAACTTTTAAAAAATTCCTCCATCCTAAATGCATCCAATATCACAAATACTAAGAACGTGTCAACGATTAGATGACCAACTCATCAAGGACTGAAACGAATAAATTTTATCACTAGTCAAACAAATGCCTTTATTTTGTTATCTACAGAGAAAACTTCAAAATTTTCCATCCCAAGGATACTTAATGATGATATACAAATAACTTTAATTAAAAAAAAACTCTTCATCATCGTGAGTTCTCTGAAGTTAACATTCATTTAAACAAGGACTCTAAAACAGTGGTTCTCAACCTTCCTAATGCTGCGACCCTTTGATACAGTTCCTTATGTTGTCGTGTATTTAACTGTATTAACTTTAACTGTATTAAAGGGTCGCAGCATTAGGAAGGTTGAGAACTACTGCTCTAAAAGAAGTGATGACTTTTAGTAATTACCAATTTATATTCAGGAGAAAAGTTATGGGATCCAGATGATAGTGTATTATAGTTCCTCCTTCTATGTATTTATGTCAAACTGCTTTCCAGTTTTAGTTACATACTTAAATACATTCTGGAAAGAGGGATAAACATGTTATTTGGAGGACAGATAAGTTTGGTACAGTATTTAAGATTAAAAAAAAAAAACATTTAAGAGCTTCATGCTTTCCTGACTTGCGTGTATTTATTTTTCAGTAAGGACCACAGCTGCATAACCATGTGTGTTAAGAATATTCTCTTCTAAACCAGCACTTAGAATTATATCAACAAACTGTACATATGCTTGTGATGTATGGTATCTGTATGGAAGGGGGAGGAAGATTTTTAAGAAAATTGCTAAATTAGTTCTCAAAATCAAGAAAGGATTATTATGTAAAGTCAACACATGCAATCAATGTAGAGAACGTGAAAATGAGTCCCCTGAACGGAGGGGAAGAGATGATTATAGTTCACAGCTCAGTTCACTTAGAAATTTGAGTGCTTCCAATAATTTAATAAAGTACTAACTGGTACAGCTCCACATTTACTGAAAATGCTTGATGTACTAAGCATTATTTCCCCCAAATTCAAAGATACATTTTTAGGTAACTGATTCAGCAACCTCCTTAACAGCACTGTAGCACCTACACTCGACGGAGGTCATTAAGTTAGGAGAGCAAATCTACTGCCACAAACGCAAAAATGCATTAAAAATAGGATTTCAGGGTGTGTTGTGGTCAGCAAAGGCTCATCTACTAAAAAAACAGGCTTATGTAAACATGCAATGCACATCCTCAGACAATGCAGTTTATAGTTGGAACACAAGGGGGAACTGTCAGTATGTCACATAAGGTACTTCATCAAATGTGGTTTTCTGTACATTACCCCTCCAATATTTCTTCCTGTCTTTAAATTTCTCTCCGCTACAGAATGGTACCACATATTTAAAAAAAAGTTTTAATTTTTAATCAAATGAATACCCTGAAGTCTTCCAAGATATCCTATCAAGGACAGCAAATTAAGAGAGATTATGAGACCAGGTGGTTACTAGTTCATTTTAAACATTGAGAATCTTGCTCCTGATTATTAAAAGAAACTGTAATTTACCCGGTTACCCAATGAGTATTCGCCAATTTCTCTGCACTCTAAGTCTACTAGAATTTTTCTTCAGTAACTGTCAACACTCCCATCATAAAAACAATGACTAAAAAGATTTTAAGATTTTCTGGGAGGAAGTTTTGTACTATCAAGAGGAAAGCAGTTTGAAAATATTTTGGAAACTACTCATAGCATCTTGTTACTCCCTGAATCACAAAATAGACTTAAGTGAAAAATAACAGTATTTCTTTTTAAATAAAAAGCAAACAAAATAACAATGACTAGGGCTTATGCACCTTTGATCCATGGAAGGAAGGACTTGGTTTCCCTACAGTCCTGGCACCACACTATGGCACCAGATGCCCAGGGGCAGCAGAAGAGAGGAGGAGAGAAGGACTGAATATCTCACCCATTTTTCCATCCCTAAAAACGAGGATCATCTGCATGTAATAGCAAGCCAGGGACTGTTGGGTGAATGCATGTGAGGAGGGCAGGTCAAGGTAAAGGAGGAAATGCTGACCACTTCTACCCTTTTCCTATTTCAACCAGTGCTAAACAGAACTCGTAACTGAAGCCTGCTTGCTCTGGCCATTTCCACCACCACCAACTAAAAGGATTCTTAGATACACAACTGGTGATTTTAAAAATAAAGGGTGGAGAGAATGTGAATTGAAGGAACCAAGGTTACAGAGAATATTGTTGGTTTCCTTCTTAAAATATATGCAGAAAAAAATATGAAAATGGAAGAAAATGGGTGAATTTTATATGAATATATTCAACTGGTATTACAGTTGCAATTTTTAGAAAAATTACAGTGGCTATCTTGATCATGTATTGTCAAACACTGCCTTGCCATTCACAAAACATCTCAAATAATTTTTACAACTAAAGTCTCACATTTGCAGAGTATAAACTGAAACTCAGGTTAAATGATTTGCTCAGAATAAAAAAGCTAACAAGTGACAGAGACTGAATTCAAATTTACATCACTAGCTTAGAGTCTAACATTCTCTTTACTATGTCAGGGCAATGATACCTCAGTTATTGAAAGTCCATTTAGTAGATGAACCGGGAAATTCAGAATTTGCAGGTAAACAGAGGATGTGAACTCTCACTTAGAATGAGGAAGCAAAAAGTTATCCTAACTATTCTAAGATTTAAAATCCATCTTGCTAGTTCTTGAAGGACTTGAGGGCACAAATTCCATCTTGGTCATTCCTGTACACACTATAGAAAACACTTAGTACAGCAATTCGTATACTAGAGTCCCTCAAACTGTTACAAAATTGAATTAGTCGTCATGTGTCTGTTAGCCTGGGCACTGATGTGGCAGCCCACTCTCCTCATCTTAATCAGAGGTTTGCTGAAGAGCTTTCCTGATGACAGTCCTTTTCCTTGTATCACACATATCTAATATATGCAGAGAGTTTATTTATTTCTTCTCATTTAAAGTACAAACAAAATCCTTATAATTTGGGGGGCAGTAGAAATGTATGCTGCAAATACTAAGAAAGCATATTGGGTAACAAACTGTAACACTGTTTGGTAAACATTAAGACCCGTTGCAAACACAGAAGATAGCCATCATTCTAGGCAACCAATGAACTGTTCCATGACGTGGATTACTTGTACCTCCTTCTTTTAAAGGTTTTAAGCACTATTTGTAGTTTAGATGAGGCGCCTTGACTAACTCTGATTTACGGACATTTTTAGGCAGAATGGTAAATGATAATTAGTTTGGGCATACAAAAGTTCCTTCTTTGCAGAACAGATTTCACTATCATCAATATTCACTGAACATTTTTAGAATAAAGGAGTGTCAACGGTACAGGATTTCCCTCTTCCTTTCTATACTGTCACAAAGAATATTTCCTGCTAAGTCACATACAAATTTTAAGAAAGTTTAACCCAAATATTTCAATAAGGGCTTTTGTCATATCCTAAATAAGAGTCTCTAGCTAACTATTAAGTCAAGAAAATCATCCCAGCTGGTGCAGTGGCTCACGCCTGTAATCCCAGCACTCTGGGAGGCTGAGACAGGTGGATTGCTGGAGGTCAGGAGTTTGAGACCAGCCTGAGTAAGAGTGAGACCCCGTCTCTAAAAAAACTAGCCAAGAGTTGTGGTGGGTGCCTGTAGTCCCAGCTACTCAGGAGGCTGAGACAAGAGGATCATTTGATCCCAAGAGTTGGAGGCTGCTGTGAGCTACAACGCCAGACCACTCTATTGAGGGCAACATAGTGAGATGAAAGAAAGACAAGAAAGGAAGGAAAAAAGAAAAGAAAGAAAAAAGGAAAATTTCCCAAAATTCTAAATTCTCAAACATCCATTCAACTGAACAAATATATCAAATTCTCCACTAAGAATATGAGCGTGTTCATTGAACAAAAGCTTTCCAGTTAGACTGTATTCATATATAGCAGCTCTCTATATATGTATATAATGATATATATGTGTGTATATATATCATTAAACATTTCTTATTCTATAGGAAAACCACTAACTTTTAAAAAAATCTCAGCATATAAATAGCTATTAAGACAATTTCATAAATTCACACTATTCAACTGCACTTGAAAACTTCAAAAGAGTGACAGTTGTAAAAATATCAATGGAAATAAGTGAAAACAGCAAAGAAACTAAAAATGCTCCCTAAAATTCAAAGTATACACACACACACATATACCTAACTCATAATACTCATAATATAAAGCAATTTGATAATGAAGGTAACTGCAGGACACCCTAAAACTATTATTAACCATTCAATGATACTTCTAGAGCCATGGTTCTCAACCTGTGGGTCATGACCCCTTTGAACTGTATTAAAGGTTTGCGGCATTAGGAAGGTTGAGAACCACTGTTCCAGAGTATATTCATACTCTTTCATTCTAGAGTAAAAACAAGAGTTTAAATCTCTTTGGTCCATGCATTCATATATTTAATACATACAAGTTATTTTCTGGTTAATTCTGGATTATGATCGTGTGTTCCATATTACCTTATCATAACTTTCTTAAATCATAAAATAGCCATATGTTAAAATAAATATTCATTCTGTAGATCTGAAATAATTTCCACATGTTATTGGTAATTTCTTTGTAAGAATATGAATGCTTTAAATTATTGACAGAATAGCCAAAGTAAAGAAAAACATAATTCAAGTCTAACAGAAAAGGAGAAATCAAATTGACATGGAAAAGTTATGCCTAAATTTAATTTGTGAAAACATATGGAATATAAATAACACATGAAAAGAATTTCCAGCATAATAAAAAGAATCAATTTTAAGATTTACTTTGAAGATCCACACATAAGTTTGCTCATAGGAATATTTTTTTAAGAGAAAAATTTCCAAGCCATAATTTCAGTAAATCCCCCCCAAATTGGCTTCCATACTGGTAAAAGTACCTCTCCCCATCTCCTCATTGGTAACCTTTTGGCAGAGAAATAGCATGGGTAACAAAGATTTAAATTTGGATAACACCTAGCAGAAACTCACTGTTATACCAAGTAAAGTTAAACATTGAGGCTAGCATGCCAGATTATTGTGGGGGATTGTCCCAAACTTTATATTCTCTATTCTAGCTCTTCATTTGAGACAGTATATTTATAATTGAGGTCTTCCTCAATTTGTATTTATTATGAGACAGCATACTTAATAATTGCACCTGGTAACAAAAAAAAAATCTTATTAGGGGATCAGTTCAGCCAGGATCTGTGTTACCCCTATATTTCCTGCACTCTTACAACTATATTGCCAGAACCTCTCAAAATTTTTTATGCAAAAGACATATCCATTTTTAACAAATGCCACCATAGATTCTTCTAGTAAACCTAAATCATAACTTATAAACCTGAATAAATTTAATATGTATAAATCAAGTACCAAACAACTGAAATAAATCATTCAAATACATGTTCAGTACTATATTGATATGCTGAGAGTAAATGTCAAATTTTAAATTTATTTGTTATAGTCCCCAATTTTTACTTAGCAAAATTATGATGTTGCCACATATCCAAAGTAACATTATTTATTACTCTTCCTATGTAACTTGCTTATTACTTATCTAGAAGTTAGGCTTTTTATTTCCAGAGCCTAATTTAGGCCACTCACTAAAAATAGTTAATACTCCAGAATGAAAGACTTGTTTATGTTTTGTCAAAAATCAAGATAATGCAACAAGTAATATAATCCCACCGAGATACTAGTTAAAAAGATGTTTTCTCCATGAGATACAAGGCCAAAACTCTCTTTAGAAGGGCCAAAGAATGTAACATGCATTTCAGACCTTTTTCTTACAAAATTGATAGGAAAATTTTCAAATTACATTTTCATGACACACAAACTACAATCAATGTGTGTGACCCATAGTTTTTGAATTCAATATAAATAGAACATTTATGCATGAGGGAAACTCTTAAAAGGGTGTTATTTAAGTTAGTGGAAAGTACGCACCCTTATAGATCTACTTTGAGTCCTTAAAACAGTTTAGTCTTCCACGAAGAAGACGATTATTTTCCATATAAATTAAATAATAATGCCTAAACATTTTAAAGCCCTAAATCCCAAAACACTCAACATTAAAAATCAAAGAATTTCTCTCATAGTAAACAATTCAATATTTAGCACTCTTAGGGGATTTAGTGTTACAAAACAAAAGTCTTACTACATCATCTGAATTCATGTCAAAGATGTTCACAGCACTCACCTACATCTACACTTGCAAATTGTCACATGATCAATGTCAACAAAAAGAAAAGAGTTTGGCACATATATCAATCCCTCAAAATGTCCCTGTAACTTAACACAACACGGTTAAGAACGATGATTTCAACACCAATGTTAACCTGATAGGCAGCTAAACAAGGTGCTTTTTCTTGTAGCTTCACATAGAGTCCAAGTGCACCTTGCCTGGGACAGAGGCACGTAAGGTGCAGTGCGGTAGTGCAATCACTTGAACACCAGAGGGCAATCTTTCCACACAGCTCAAGGTCTTCCTCAGTTTTGACCCGCTCGGTCCGCATTCTTGCACAATTTCATTTCTACTTGTTAACCATGCCATTTTCAGGGAATCTGTACATCTGTTTCCTTAGGTGAAGTAAGACATTCCCACAGAAACCTCAAAGTGTAGCGAGGATCCTTGAGAAGGAGATGATTATTGTCAGTACAGTCTGCCCAACGCCCCATACCAGCGCTTCCAAAGGGGCCATGTTCTTCCCTGCGACTCTGTAAATGCCCGCTACTGCTGCACCTGAGGGGAACAGAGGGGCCAGAAAGAAAGTCACTGTACACACTGCACAGCTCTAACTTCATCTCTTTTCATTTTATCAAAGAAGTCATCATTCATGGCATTTTGTAAATTTTCTATGAGAAAGTTTCCATGTGATTGATAAAAGTTACACTTTACCTTATCACATTTGACCACTTAATTGAAAAACAGACTTCTATTCCACCAAAATATAAGTATGCAGCATGCTTATAAGTACACGCTGCATACTTGATACAAAATATGTTCATAAAAAATGAATAATTTCGGGCGGCGCCTGTGGCTCAGTGAGTAGGGCACCGGCCCCATATACAGAGGGTTCAAACCCACCTCGCCAAACGGAAACAAAAAATAGCCAGGCGTAGTGGCAGGCGCCTGTAGGCCCGGCTACTCGGGAGGCTGAAGCAAGAGAATCGCCTAAGCCCAGGAGTTGGAGGTTGCTGTGAGCTGTGTGACGCTGCAGCACTCTACTGAGGGCAATAAAATAAGACTCTATTTCTACAAAAAGAAAAGAAGAAAGAAAAGAAAATGAATAATTTCATTATTATCATCTGTCACCTGAATATTCAACTGGCTAGACCTCATCAGCATTTTTATAAACAAATTTTAACACGTTGATAATTATAAATGATAATGCAGAAAAATGACATAATTTAATGTAATTTCTAAGTTAAAAATCTTAAAATTAAAGGTATCTTTTCTGAGTCAGATGAATTGTCTTAAAAGTCATGTAAAATAAAAGAGTATTTGACTAATTCATTCCACAATCTACCACATAACATAATTAATTAAATAAAGCACATAACTCTAACATAGGGCTAGTATTGTGACATGTAATAAAAATGGGAGATGAACTTGACATCTATTTTAGGAAAATTTTTAGATAATGTATACTTCCTAGTAGGCGAGAATCTCAGAATTATGAGGAACTTCATACATCATTCATCTAATAATACAGCTTATATAATGATGCAGTATCTCAGTGGCCAATGTTAAAAGTGCATTCATAAATCACAAAGAAAGAAACACGTAAGTTATAATGTGCCATCTCACTGTCTGAGATAGCCTCGAACGATTTCCCTAAAAAAACTGTCTATACATCCTAGCATGGTTATGTGCTTTATTAAGAAATTCGATTAACTATTTTATATGGTAAACTATGAAATGAATTGGTCAAATATTCTTATCTTTGAGTAAAATGAATTTAAGGATTCATTTTACTCAAAAGAGATACCCTTAATATTAAGATTTTTTTGTTAATTTAGAAAGTATATTATTTAGGAAAGAACATAAGAAAAATAAGAGAAATAAGTTATCCAAAGATACTAAATTGACAATTATTTGAGATAGGAATTTATTCATAAAAATTAGCTGTTTATATTTTTTATTTGTTAATTAATAAAAATTTGCTAAGGGCAGCACCTGCGGCTCAAAGGAGTAGGGCGCTGGTCCCATATACCAGAGGTGGTGGGTTCAAACCCCATCCCAGCCAAAAAAAAAAAAATTTGCTGAGCATTAACTGTTTGTATTTTACTCAAAATCTCCCACATAAAAGCTACTGTATTCTTCTATAAGATATATAAACAGGAAAAGCAAATTATTAAACTAAACCAAGATCTTTCACATATGTTTTAAAATAGAAGAAAATTAAAATATATTTACCACATACTATGTATCTTGCTAGGAACTTTACAAATACTATCTTATTTCAATATCATACCTCCCCTCAGTATTATCCCCTAACATAAAGTAATAGCTCAGGCAATACAGTAAGTGTAAGAGCTGGAATCTCAATCCAGGCTAGTCTGGCTATAAATTTGCAAATATTTTTATCATTTTAGATTTATGCTAAGTGAAAAAGAGAACAAGGAACTCAGAAAATAATAAAGTAGCCAATAATCTCAATATTAAATAAAACTCCAAGTGGCACCAACATTTACTTAATCAAGTAATAAACTCACTTGATCACACATCTAAATTTTAGAATTACATGACATTCTTCAAAAACTTTAAAGATAATACATCTTGTTTATTAACAGAAATATATTAAAATAAACCTGAGAAGTACCCTGTTTTTCTTTGGATTTACCCTAGATTTCCATGACTATTTTCAATTTGAAAAAACACTACCTTCGATTTTACAAAACACAATTTGGCCTCCATCTCTCTGACACTAAATTTTCAATCATGATCCAAGAAGGGAAAAATCAAAGTAATTACTTGCTCAGGCTGCCTGGAAAGTGGCAAATAAATCTGTCAATTCAAACTTCCCATGCTTACCTCAGTTAAAAGCATGGGTTTTAGAGCTAGATTTGTGTATAAATATTCTCTGCTTAGCTACTGTGTTTCACTGGACAATCACTTAACCTCCTTCATCTCCCCAACTGTAAAATGGGCATAAAGATTAAGAGATAATACTGGTAAGGTGCTTAAAATACCAGATAGTCCTAGGATGTACTCAAAAAATTTTGGCCAGTAGTTGTAATAGCAGTAAATGGTAAAGATAATTCCAATCAGTGATTACCTACTCAGTAAAGAGTAAACTATAGTCATTTGAAAGAAATAAAATCAGTTCCTACTTCACACTCTTCCCCAAAATAAATTTCAGATGGATTAAAGAACAAAATGTTTAGAAGAAAACTACAAATGTAAACTTTAAAATATAAAAAAATTACAGGCCAGGCACAGTAGCTCACACCTATAATCCCAGCACTTTCAGAGGCCACGGTAGGAGGATCACTTGAGACCAATTTAAGACTAGTCTCAACAAAATAGTAAGAACCTGTTTCTACAAAAAATTAAAAAGTGGCCTGCTATGATGGTGGACACCTGTAGTCCCAGCTTCTCATGATGCTGAGGCAGGGTGATTTCTTGAGCCCAGGAGTCCAAGGCTATAGTGAGCTATGATTGCACCACTGCACTCCAGCCTGAACAACAGAGCAAGACCCTGTTTCGAAAAAAGAAAAACAAAATAAAATAGTATATATTTACAATCCTAGGAAAAGATATCTTAAGAACACAAAAAAAGAGCAAAAACCATAATAATTCGAAGTCAAGGAACATATTAGAAAAATATTTGCTATGTTTACAACAAACATTAGTATCCAGAATATAGATACACACATATAAATGCATATACAAACACATAATAATCAATGTAGCATATTTTTGTAATCAAAAAATAAACAAAACACATGTTCATTAGCTGGGTAATGGCTGAACTATATAAAGCCCATACCATGGACTCCATATAGTTCCAAAAGGAAAATGTAAATCTGTATGAACTGACATAGAAAAAACTTAAGACATATTTCTACAAAAAAGCACAAAGCATCATATCTTCAGTCCTAGCGCATTTGTACATGTGTGTGAGGCAGTATGTATATATGGATGTATGAATGTGGCACACACACAAAACTCTGGGCTCTATATTCTTACTAAAAATAGGAATTACTTTGGGAAAAAGCACCGGTTTGGAAGTACTAGTCAAAAGAGACTTTGTTTTACCCACAATGTCTTTAATGTTTTAACACAACGAATACAGTCATGTATTACTTATATAACTAAAATAAATTTTAAAAATCTAACTTAATTTCTACATCTAACTTGCCTAAACTTAACTACAATTCTAAGAAAACTTTATTTTAAAGGCTAGGATATCTTTTAAGACTAGTTTTTAAACAATATGTATTTGTATACAATAACACAGTTCAATGAATTCTTGATTTAAAATAGCAGGGCATAAACGTATTTATAGCAGAGAATAAATACATTCCCTTGTATGTAGCTATAAGTTATGTTCACTGCTGTGCAGAATTCTAAGTATGAATGTATCCCAACTTCTTTGGCCCTTTTACTACTGATGACATTTGCTTCCAATCCTTTGTGATCATTAACACTGTTCCTGTGAATGTTCTTGTCCATGACCCTGGCACACATGTGTAGTCAAGAGTTTCTCCTTCATCTATGGTAAAAGTGGAATTGCCAGGCCCTAGGGTTTGGGCATTTTAACTTTAGTAGGCAATATCAAATTGTTTTTCCAGAATAGTTGTACTAATTTATATTCTACTTGCACCATACCCACAGAAGCAGGTGGTATCTTTTTTTGTTGTTTTTAATTTTTGCCAATCTGGTGGATAAGAGATGTTGTCACTCCGATCAATTTATAATTTCTTGATAATTAACGTGATGGAGATTTTCTTCACAGGGGACTGGCCATTAGGGTTTCTACTTCTATGAAATGCTTGCTAAGTCTTTTGTCCATTTTTTTCTATTATCTTTTTATTATATGATTAACAATTTTCTTTAGTTTGGATATTAACCTTTTTGTGTTTATTTATGTTACCGAATATCTTCTCCTAATTTGTGCCTTAGTTTCCACTCTAAAGCATCAAGAAGGCGGAAGTGGGATAGGGTGCTTGGAATACATGACACACATGAAACTGTCATTGGAAATAATGTCAAACACAATGAATTAGAAATAAAGAACGACACCAAAAGTATTAAGGGGGTAGAGAAGATGGGCACAATAAATCTGAAGTAGAGAAAGCACTACAACTGAGCTGATCTAAAACATGTGTGAAATACATAAACCTGCAAGGACAAAGGAGAATGGATCAGAGTCATCAGTGGACAGAAAATGTCAAAAAACAGCAACATAAAGTGCTTGCAGCAAGGTATACCAATGGGAAGTAATGTAGTTTACCCTGCATGCCTCCGAACAGAAAGCAAATAATAAAGGGCAGGGAAGCATTCATTTTAATGGCGTGTTGATTCTATCAGTTTGCACAGTTAGATCGGGTTGGCAAACTACAGTTCACACCCCAAATCTGGCCCACCAACCTGTTTCTGTACAGCATATGGGCTAAGAATGATTTTTACATTTTTAAATGATTAAAAAAAATCAAGAATATTTTGTGATACATAAAAATTAAATCAAATTCAAATTTTAGCATCCATAAATTTTTACTGGAATAAAGCTGTCCTCATTTTTGATACTAAACTATCTTTATATTCCCAAGCAACATTCATAAGGTAAATGAGCTTATACCTTTCTGTTCTAGTGGTCTTTATTTTGTTTAGTTACAGGATTACTTTGGCCTCAGCAAATATGCTGTGCACAGCTTTTACTCTATTTTTTTCAATAATTTGGATTAATTAGTAGTACTAACTATCCTTTGAAAATTTTAAAGAACTCACTAAACCCTGTTTAGACCTAGAAATTTTGGGAAGAAGGCAGTTAATATCTCAAGTGTTTAAAAATAATTATCCTATTCATGTTTTCTATTTTTTCTTATGCCAATTTTGATATTTTGTATTTAGAAATATATAGTTTTTAAAACAAAAATGAAAACTTTTATTTTTGTAATTATTTTATTTTTATTGAGATAAAATTATTTATTGTAGTATGTTCTACATTTTACTTTTCTGCCTTAACTTTTTTCTTTGTCAGTAGACTATTCATTTTACTTCTCCAAAGAACAAGTTTTTGTCACTCTTTTAAAAACACAACATACAAAACTTTGTATTTCTCCATATCAATAAAACAGTATAAAAAGATACCTATGCACTATAGTCATTAAGTTCGTAAGTGTTTGGGAATTAATCAAAAACATACAACCTTTCTATTGAAAAAACGTTTTTTAACTCAAAAAAAGACAAAAATGATGATCTCAATAAATATTCTTGGATAATACAATTTAAAATGCCAATTTTTTCCAAGTTAACCTCTACATTTAATTAAGAACTAATGAAAATTATTCTCACACTTCTTGAGATATTCAGTAGACACATTCTCAAATTTATATGAAAGAATAAAGGTCCATGAATGGCTACTTTTCTGAGAGAGAAAAGTAAAAAGAGAGCCCTATCCCTAACAGATATGAAAACATACTACAAAACCATAAGGATAAAAAAAATGGGGCCACGCTGCAAAAAAAGAAAAAAAAAAGACCCAGGAATCAGAACAGAGGTTAGAGACAGATCCCAGTAACTTGAGAATACACAAAGGTGACACTACAAAGTATGAGAAAATAATGGATTTTTTAGTAGATGGTAACATAAAAATTGGCTTAGTATGTGGGAAAGGAAACAAACACTTGGAATCCCATCTAATAGCAAAAACAAAGGCAGACTCTAGACCAGGGAGTAAATTATGGCCTGAACACCAGGTGCCTGTTTGTAAAAACAGTTTTATGGAAACAAGTCATGCCCGTGCATTCACGTATGCCTGCGGCTGCTTTTGCACTACAATAGGATGAGGGAATAGTGTGACAATGAGCCCTGGCCTGCAGTCTGAAATATGTAGCTGGCCCTTTAAGAAAATGTTTTCCTGATTCCTTCTACACAAGAAATGAAGATCTTAGTAAGAAAGGTAAAACTAAAAAGAAAATATGAGAGAATATGTTTTGTTCTTGGTATGGAGGGAGAACATCTTAAACAGAACAAAACTCTAAATTATAAACCATAGGTCAAAAAACTCTTTAACCTGATAATACTGAAATTAAGAACTTCTGCTCAATTAATGATATCATGGACAAAGGGAATTGATAAAAGATTGAGAGAAATTATTTGCAAAGTCCAAAACCACCAAGAAACCAATATCTCTAATATATAAAGAAAAACCTGTGATTTAACAAAAAGGAAACAGAAATACCAAAAGAAAAGTCCAGAATTTAAAGATGCAATCTTCAGAAAAGAGAGCCTGAATGTGCAGTAAACACAGAAAGGGCTGCTCAAACACATTCGTGATCAGAGAACTGCAACTTTTTTTTTTTTTTTTTTGAGACAGAGTCTCACTATGTCATCCGTGGTAGACTGTCATGGCATTACAGCTCACAGCAACCTCAAACTCTTGTGCTTATTAAACAATTCTCTTGCCTCAGCCTTCTGAGTAGCTGGGACTACAGGCACCGGCCACAATGCTGGGCTATTTTGTTGTTGTTGTTGCAGTTGTCACTGTTGTTTTAGCTGGCCCAGGCCAGGTTCGAACCCACCAGTCTTGGTGTATGTGGCTGGCGCCCTACCAACTGAGCTACAGGCACCACCCGAGACAACTGTAACTTAAACTAGAAATAAGATATCACTTTATACCTTTAGACTAGTTAAAATTAAATAGCTGAAATTAGGCATTACATATAAACTTAGTTTCTCTCATTTCTGATATCAACTAACAATCCTAAATGAAAAATCACTTACTTTGGAAATAAAATCTAAGAAGCAGCAAAATATAATAGATAAGAATTTATATTCAATCAGCATCTTCTGGAATGCAGATACCCAGCAATTTGTTAGCTGAACTGAACATATAGCTATGAGTGCACTAGGAGTCACAACTTGTGTTAAGAAAATAAATACAGCTAAATATTCACATTAGCTTTTTTTTTTTTCCTTTTTTAATTCAAGTATTTACAGGTCAGAAAATCAGCCTGAAGACATTTAGTAAATGTTTTCTAACTAATCTGGACACAAACTTTTACTTAAAACTGTGTTTGACATATTTTTAAGAATTTAAAAACCTGTCTCAAACAAATAAAATAAATACATAAATAAAATATAGCCCTGTGCTTTCTAAAATCATTGGCTAATTTTATTCTTGACTGAATTGAAGTACACATATATATTATTAGAGATAAATGGAAGTAGAATTATATTTCTCATGTTCTCTTTTAACATGTTAATTGCCACTTGAGTTGTATTTAACTTACACTAGTTTTGAGCCTGGGGCCTAGAGAAGCACATGTAACTTGTATACCTCTTGACCTATTTTGACCTAATAATACATTGTGGCCCCAAGGAAAAAGAACTTTTTTCTAGCATGGCAGTCAATGTGTTTAAGTTCTACAATAATGTATGCTATTAAATATATATAACACATACTACTTAACAACTTCTAAACAAGCTGGTCCTTCCTTCCTTCCTCCTCTGTTCAGAGTTCTACAACTACAACAATGCTGGCAGCCCCCTCCATCTCTCTTTTTATGCCACCACGGTGAACAGCAACTAATTTAGATTTATTGAGCTTTGCCATAGTTCTTACTTCAATGTCTCCTTTCCTAACCCACAGCCATTACTCCAGATTAGATTCTGGTCTCAAGCTTAGTAATACTATTCTCCCTCCCTCCCTTCCTCTCTCTTCTCCTCTCTCCCTTCATCCGTTTATTCAACCAGTATTTTTTGAGATCTAACATGATCCAGGCACTGTTTTACTGTTGGGGATACAGCAGTGATGAAAACACACAAGTCCCTGTTCTTTCCGAGTTTTCTCTTTATATTCTATATTCAACTATAAAATAAAATTTCCCATTGAACTGTTTTGCCCCTTGCCACTCCATTTAAAATCATCCACTTGTTTTCCATGGCCTGCAGGATAAAAGTCCAAACTTTCCAGATAGCTTTGCAAGACCCTCCATCCTATCTTTCCAGCTGAATCTGCTACTACCCCCACTATACATATCCTGTGCTTTAGCTAAACCTGAGTACCTCTTTAAAACTATACCTATGGGGCTCGGCGCCTATAGCTCAACCGGCTAAGGCGCCAGCCACGTACACCTAAGGTGGTGGGTTCGAATCCCCAGCCCGGACCCGCCAAACAACAATGATGGCTGCAACCAAAAAGTAGCCGGGCGTTGTGGCGGGCGCCTGTGGTCCCAGCTACTTGGGAGGCAGAGGCAAGAGACTCGCTTGAGCCCAGGAGTTGGAGGTTGCTGTGAGCTGTAATGCCATGGCACTCTACCCAGGGGGACAGCTTGAGGCTCTGTCACAAAAAAAAAAAAAACTATACCTATGGCAAAATGGGTAAGGTACAGTATTACAAAGCTGTAGGTTACATGCAGAAACAAAAGCAACTATAAAAACACAATGTAACAGAGAAAAAACAAGTAATAATTGAAGGATAAGAAAATAGACTACTCCTCACTTCCCGTAATTATTTTAGGATTATCTTACTAATGCCATAGGACATACCCAGAGACATGAGAACTGGGCTTTTCCTCTCAAGACGTGGATGTCAATCACTCTAGAGACGATGAGGGAGGGAAGCCTCTGAACTATAAAGATAAGGTCTTATCTCGGAGGCAAGAACCGATTGGAAAGAAGTTCCTAAGAGTCCTGAAACAAACCCAGTGGTAGCAGAGAGCTGCCCAGACTTGCAGAAGGCCAGAAGTCAAGGGCAATATGAGCCACTAGGATCATTAGATTACTAGCAGGGAAACAATCAACAGCAACACAGAGAAGCCTCCAGTTTCTGACAAAACCACACTAAGGAAGCAGCTGCGGCACTCTCCAGTTTCAACAAGATGCATCAAAGTTCTGCTCAACCAGAAGGAGCAGAAACTGTCACTTAACTCTTTCTAGCCAAGGCTGGATGTGAGGTCCAAGTACAGTGTTGAGAGGAGAAAGCCAGAGGGAACGAACCTGAGGACTCACTCGCAGGGAAACGCTCTTGAGTCAGCACAGCAGAAACGTGCAAACCACCAGAGGGCCGGGGAGGTTTGTGTCATGACGATTGGTGTACAAGAAAGTGCAATTTTATTTTGTAGTCACAGGAAAATGACATCAAGGACATAGGGCTATATTTTCACTTTTTTTTAGTGACAATTGTCACTGCCATATTTTGTGCCTTTCTTTCTTACCAGATAGTGAGCAACTTCAAATCAGAAACTACAATCAATACAAACTTTCCCATTAAACCTGTTTTGTCTATTGCCACAAAACTGTGAAAGTAAGTGCTCACACAGTAAAGTACCAACTATTTACTCAGTGAATATGTGGAATTCACCTTTACCTTCTAAATCTAGGTGGAGCGTGTAAAATGTTGAAAAATATTCCACATAAAAGATAACATTAATGCTACACTTACAATAAGAACATAGTCACCAAAATGTTACACGCATATAAAATTATGTCCTTAAACACAATCCACTTACTGGTAATCATGGCTCCGGTTACAGAAGCCAGAAACCCGATGCTGACTGCGATGACAGAGATGACTCTTCCCTGCCTATGCCGCTGCAGCATCACAAACATCAGCACGCCCGCAGCACCGTGGACAAACAGGGAGGAGAAGAGAGCCCAGAGGAAGATCCAGTACCACATCTCTGCAAGGAGAATGCAAGTGTTAATCATTCTGCCAAAATACATCTTAGAAAATCCAGTTGTAGTGAACACCTATGGTTTGGGGGAATGCTAAATGAGATAACGTATATACACAAATGCTTGGCACAGTACCTGACATACAGTAATAATAAATTGCAATAATAATCGCCAGGCATGGTGACTTACAACTGTAATCGTAGCATTCTGGAAGGCCGGGGGGCTGATTAGTAAGGATCCTTTGAGCTAAGGAGTTTGAGATCAGCCTGAGCAAGAGCGAGATCCTGTCTCTACTAAAAACAGAAGAATTAGCTGGGCATGGTGATGGGCATCTCTGTCCTAGCTACTAGGGAGGCTAAGGCATGAGGCTTGCTTGAACCCAGCAGTGTGAGGTTGCTGTGAGTTAGGCTGACACCATGGCATTCTAGCATGGAGCAATACAGTGAGATTGTCCCAAAAAAAAAAAAAAAAATCAACATCACTAATGCTTGAGGGGAGATAATTCCTTCCATGACGATGAAAAGTTAAAGCTATACTCTAATTTTCTCTAAATGTCCCTGTTATATAGCTATAATTCATCAATTTTTTATATTATTTATAAACATCTTAGAATATATAAAAGTTAATTAATTGCTATTTGAGATGTAATTTTCTATTTTATATACTAAAAATAGTGTTAAGATTTTTTTTTAAAACTCTCCCTTAGTTCAAATCATTCCAGAAGTCAGTACGTGGTTTTACCTTCGTGACTGTAAGGATGTCTAGCAATTCCCCCATGGTTCTCAATTTTGTACACTAAAGAATCATTGGCATTTATTTTTTAGTTCTCTGCCTCCAGTTATGCTACTCTTACCTAACCAGAACTTCTCAAGCTCCGTTATTCTTTCTTCAATGTGTCCTCAATCAATAGTCCATTGACATCTCGGTTTAGAGAAGGGACGAAAACACCCTTCCCTCTGTCTTCCACTCAGCACCTTTCCTTCTGGCTGCCCTCCTGATTCCTAGTCAATCTTTATAGTTCCCACAGCTGTCCTTGATTTAGCCCCATCTCCCTTCCCATATTGTGGTGAGGTCCAGGATTTCTGAAGCCATTTCATCATCACACAATGTAAGTCACAATATAAGAAGAAAATAAAATACATCTATCATAGACCAGAGACAACCAAGTCCCTTACCAGTGTTTTCTAAGGCCCTAGCATATCACTATCCTTGGAGTCAATGTAGCATCCTAGTTTCCTTGTAATAAAATTCTCCTTTTTATTTAACTAGTTCAGGTAGGGATCCTGTTACTTCTGGCTGAAAAAGCTGACTCTACAATGTTGAGACCTTGCAAATCACCCTTGATGTGCAAACACTCTACAACATGAGGTATCTGGGGTCTGTGCTAGGTGCCTACTCTCTATCAAGTATACAAGTCAATAAAACAGCCATTCAATAAAGAGAGTAAAAATGGATGAATCAGAATCTATCCAAACATCATTAAAGTATGGAAATACTCTGTTGGTAGGAATGTAAAATGGTACAGCTGCTATGAAAAACAGTATCATAGTTCCTAAAACATTAAACATATGATCCAACAATTCTACTTCTGGGTACAGACCCAAAAGTATTAAAAGCAGAATCTTGAAGAGATACTGGCTCACATCCATGTTCACAGCAGTATTATTCAGAATAGCCAAGAGATGGAAGTAACCCAAGTGTCCATCAATGGGTGAAATGGATAAACAAAATGTATGGTATACACACAATGAAACATTATTAAGTTTAGAAAAGGAAGGAAATCACACCCTGCAATGTGAACAGACCTTGAAGACATTACACCAACAGTGAAATAAGCCAATGGCAAAAGCACAAATGCTGCATGACTCCATCTGTGCAAGGTATTTAACTAGTCAAACCCACAGGAACAGAAAGGAGGATGGTGATTGCCGTGGGTAGGGGTAGGGGAAGGGAAAGGGGGGAATTGTGTAATGAGGATGGAGTTTAGTTTTGCAAGATGGAAAGGATCTGGATATCTGCTGCACAACAGTGTAAATACATTTAACATTACTAAACTATATGCTTAAAAATAATAAATTTTATATTTTGTGGTATAAGAGGAAATATATTTGGTCTTTGTCCTTGATTCCTGGCACACTCCTCCTAAAATCCTTTGAATTTAGTGAGTGACAGAAAGGTCTTTTTAAATTCATAATAAGCCTCTTGTGATCATCCCGGAGTTTACAGGCCCCTACATAGTCTCAGAATGGAGCTTTTCACCAGAAAGATCAAGTGATGACAGGGCTGAACTTTCAACCTCACCCACTGACCTCTAGGAAGGCTGGGGATGGGGGGCAGCTGGAAAGTAAGATCAAGCTCTATGTAATCTCTTGAATTACTACATTTGATGGATTTCTGGGCTGCTGAACATGGGAGGTGCTGCAAGGGCGATACACCTGGGAGAGGATGAGGCAGCTCTGAGACCCTCTGAGACCCTATCCTACCCCCTCCACACCCCGTCCTGTGCATCTCTTCCACCTGGCTGTCACTGAATCGTAGCCTTTATAATCAAACAGTAAACATAAGCATAATGTTTCCTTGAGTTCTGTGAGGCATTCTAGTAAATTATGGAACCTGAGCTGGGGGTTATGGAAACCCTGAACTTAGTCAGAAATACAGAAAGCTCAGACTTTCTACTGGTGTCTGAAGTGGGAGTGGTTTGTGAGCCTGAGCCCTCAACTTGTGGGATCAAATGTAACAACAGGTAAATAATGTTTAAATTGAATTTTATTGTAGGAAACCAAATTGGTATCCTAGAAAATTGCTTGGTATTGGAAAAACCCCAAATCTAGTCATAGAAGTGATGTGTGTGAAAGAGAGGAAACAGTGAGTTTGTTTTCTCAGATATGTTTGCTACTACATTTAAAATAAAATAAAAAAATTAAAGTATGAATATACATTTAAAATATTTTAAGTAGAGACCATAAATGACAAAAATTTTAAAACAGAACAAAAACACTTAAACAGGGAAGATGGTACCATTATACAGGAGCCATATAAAGGATCTTTGTGGAAATGGGACTGTTCTACATTTTGACTGTGGTGATGGGGATATATAATATATGTGTGTGTGTATATATATATATAAAATAAAACTGTATAAAAGTCAATACAGACACACACAAAAGAGTACAAGCATACAAGTAATAGTGGTGAAATCTGAATAAGGCTGGTAGATTATACCAATGTCAATATTTTATAGTTGTGCTATTACACTGTGATTTTCCAAGATGTTCCCCTTGGGCAAAGTGGATAAAAGGTGCATCAGCCCTCTATGTATTAGTTCTTACAACTGCTCATGAATCTAATGTTATCTCAAAATAAAATGTTCAATTTTTTTAAAAGGGGGGATATATAGAAAACAGATTTTTTAAAAAAATCAACTTTATCCTGCCAAATTCTTAAGACTTGGCACATAAAATAGACTCAGACAATGTGAAATCATTTCAAGGAAAAGACATCTGATATATTCTCCAATGTGTGTTATAATATCACACTTGCTTTTCGGTGTCATAAGGTAGATGCTGGTGATTAAGGGAAAGTAGACAAAAGCTTGCCTTTTAGAGGTTCTTCTCTTCCAGCTTTCAGGAAATGAGTGTTTTCATGTTGCCCCTCCTAAACAAATGGCCTCAATTTATAATAAATGAAGATTGTATTTAAAGTTTAACTTGCTCAGAAGCTATTTGTATATTCAAAATATAATTTTTCAAAGTGAACTTAATCAAATGAGAATAGAGAAGAGTAGTAACATGGAAGGTGCATACTTTCATCAAGGGAGCTCTTTCTACAGCTTACTCTGAGACAAGGAAGGCCCTGCAAGGGCCATATGCTTCTTCAGCAAGAGAAGTCAACAATCTGCCTTGCTCCCAGGCACATGTATAGAAGCTCTTATCACATCTACCCCTCAAAGAGTATTTTTCTTTGTAGTCCTTGGAATATAATTAGAGGAAATAATTTCTTGACTATATTTTTATACTATGAGCAAGAGATTATCTGATATTATAGAAAGTAGTACTTTATGTCTACTGAATATCCAGCTACTGGCCTCAACAATAAGTTTACCTCATATAAGGGAAAATAAAATTTAAGTTTAATGTTTTATAAAGCCCCAAGTTATCAAAACAACCACACAACTAAAACACAGGATGTTCTAAAAGTCTCCACACACAGGAAAAATTGTGTAACACAGCTATCTTGGAAGGTGTTCCCTGTGAGTGGGAGAGAAGACTCGGTGTGTATAGAAAGAGGTGGCCAACACTTACAGAGTATTCTGTAAATGTTTTATAAAATCATATAATAAATATTTTGTACACAAAGGTACACTTAGCTACCATTTCCTATTTTCCTGTATGGTGACTTTGGGGATGACCTATGGACTGTCAAGCGGTGCTCTAACGACTAGTCCAGGATGATTCCCTCAGCATTAACAAAATAACTCCCAATTCAAATTTACTTTTATGTTTCTTTCTCTTTTTTAAAAATCATACCACTTACCCTGGGGAAAAAAACTGGTATCTGCTCAGAATATTTACTGGTTTCTTAGTATTCGTGGTAGTACTATTATTTTAAACTACTTAACAGATCAAAATAACCTTGTGAGTGAACATGGCTTCTAAAGAATTGGAGCCACTCTGGATAAGCAAGTCTGTCTGAAGTCCCAACTACTACTGGCAAATACATGAAACCTACAGCATTAGTTCAATTGAAAAGAAGTGTGGAAACATGAGAACTAGACAAAAACTGATGCCCAGGAGCCTTAGTTGAAGAACAGACTAAGAGGATTAGAGTGGACTATCCCAGTCTTTTCTTAAACTGTCATGCTATACACCGAGGGTCCCAGTTTTCTCTTTCCACCTGTATCTCACTTAATCCAACCTTCTAGCAATTAGGAAACAATGAAGGGAGGAAGCCAGAGGGAGACTTCACTAGTGCCAAACACAACACAAAGCAAACATTTAAAAAATAT